GAAGCTCAGTCCTCACCTCCTTCTACAGGTGTGCAGTGGAGAGCATCCTGTGCTCCAGCATCAACGTGTGGCATGGAGGCTGCACAGCTGCAGAAAGAAAAGCTTTGCAGAGAGTGGTGAAGGCTGCACAGAAATCTGTTGGAATCAGTCTCCCCACCATCACAGACATCTACACCTCCAGATGCAGGAAGAGGGCCACCTGCATCATGAAGGACCCCACTCACCCAGCACACACACTTTTTGCCCCACTCCCCTCAGGAAGGAGGTTGAGGAGCATTAAGTGTAGAATCACTAGACTGAGGAACAGCTTCTACCCTGAGGCTGTTAGACTCACGAATCTCTAACTAGAATAATCACTGTGAAAAACCATATCATGTTGCTGCTGATCTGTTTCATGTTGCTGCTGATCTGTTTCAATGTTGATGTGTTCATGCGTGCACATCTGCTCACAGACTCATGTTCATGTTTGATGTTTCATGTTGATTGCCAAATTTACTTCCCCCTGAGGCACAGAGGCACACGCTCTATTCAGCCTCTTCTTGACTGCCTGGCTGACATCCGGGACTGGATGGCTTTAAACTTCTTAAGCTTCAATGAGAAGAAGTCTGAAGTCATGCTGTTCCATCCCAGTGGCTCACTCATGAACTATGACATTGACCTATTCTCTCTTGCCCCGCTAGAGAAACAAAAGGTGACTAATCTGGGGGTGATAATGGACCCGTCCTTAAAACTCAACAGTCACGTAAACATGATGGTCAAATCCTGTTTTTTTCAGCTGAGACGGCTGTCTAAGCTGAAGCCTATACTCAACAAAAAGAACCTTGAGACAGTGATCCACGCCTTCATAACATCTAGGCTTGATTACTGCAATTCACTTCTGTTTGGAATCAGTCAGTCCTCCATTGCTCGTCTACAACTGGTCCAAAATGCTGCAGCCCGATTTTTAACTGGTACAGGCTATAGAGAGCACATCACGCCAGTTTTGGCCTCCCTGCACTGGCTACCCATTCACCTTCGGATCCATTTCAAAATTCTCATGTATGTTTTTAAATCACTGAACAGTTCCGCCCCATCCTATCTCACTGATCTTCTGCAGCCATATGTCCCACCGCGCTCTCTGAGGTCAGCAGACCAGATGCTTCTCTCAGTCCCAGAAACCCGTCGTAAGCTCAGAGGTGACGGGGCTTTCTCTGTTGCAGGTCCACGACTGTGGAATGAGTTGCCACTGAGTGTCCGGCAGGCTCCCACACTCTCAGTCTTTAAGTCTCGCTTGAAGACCCACTTCTATTCGCTTGCCTTTAACACGGTGTGATTTGTTTTGGTCCGGTCTGTTCTCTACTCTGTTGGCCATTTTAGTTAGCTTCTGCTGCTATTTGTATCTGTATTTCTATTTTATGTTTTCCTGTCCGCTGTGCATGTTTGTGTTCTTTTGTACAGCACTTTGGTTGGCCTTGTTGCTGTTTTAAGTGCTATATAAATAAATTGGTATGGTATGGTATGGTATGTTTGTGCTGATGTTCAATGTTTTATGTTATGAGTGCTTAGTGTATATTTAGTTGATATTTTTCTTAGTTCATATCTTAGATGTTATTACTGTTTTTCTTATACATTTTATTGTTGGATGTAACTGGGACCCTGTGTACATAATTTCGCTCCACCACATGTACCACATGAGGTGCGAATGACAATAAAGAAACTCTGACTCTGACTCTCTGAAAGTACACCTGGACTATAGAAAGTACACCTGAACTATAGAAAGTACACCTGAACTATAGAAAGTACACCTGAACTATAGAAAGTACACCTGAACTATAGAAAGTACACCTGGACCATAGAAAGTTCACCTGGACTATAGAAAGTTCACCTGGACCATAGAAAGTACACCTGAACTATAGAAAGTACACCTGAACTATAGAAAGTACACCTGGACTATAGAAAGTTCACCTGGACTATAGAAAGTACAGCTGGACTATAGAAACCTGGACCTGTCATTCTGTGTCTGTTTCTACTTCCTGTCCTCTCAGACCCAGCCAGTCGAAGCCGTTCGTCCTGAGCTGGTTCTGGAGGTTTCTTCCTGTTAAAGGGAGTTTTTCTTCCCACTGTCTCCTCGGTTCTCGCTCAGGATGAGAGACTGTGATGAAGAGAAGATTCAACACAACCTGCTGCTTCCTGAGATAGAGAACTTTAATAATCGTCTTTTATAAAGTTTGTGAATGTTTCTGTTCAGAGAGCTGAGATGTTGTCTGTTGGGACTTGGAGCTATAGAAATAAACTGAATTGAACTGAATTGAACTGAATTAGAAAGACACTGATGCACCTGAGGTCGTGGAGTTCTGATCCGGAGCCTGTGATGAGCAAGAACTGTCCTGGGCTCAGCTGGGTGATGGTGACCTCAGCAAACACTTTCCCAGCAGGAGTCAACATGTGACTGATATTTGTCTGACTCACCTGAAAATAAATTATTTCAAACAACGCTCAGTTAAATCATTTCTAACAGCTAAAATGAGCAAAAGCTTATGTGAAATAAAAAAAAAAACATCAGAAGTGGATGAAGCCTGAAGGACAAACGTAGCTGAAGCAGAAGTTTTGAAGGTGCTGATAAATGTGAGTCTACCTTCGGCATGGTGTTCGCAAACAGCTGATCGAGTAGCTTGACGGAGTCCTTCCCCTTCACAATAAATTTTCCAAACGGAGTGAGGTCAATCACTCCCACCCTCTCCATCACCAGTCTGCACTCTCTGCCAACTGGTCCAAACCAGTTGGTGCGGCGGAAACTGGGCCTGAGCACAGAACCAGTTATGAGTCTGTTATTTAAAAACAGCAGCTTCAGTTAGCACAGCTGGAATTTACGGCCATTTTTACTGACTTCAAGTGAATCAGTTAAAAACATAAAGTCAAAAGTTACTTTCTAAAAGTTCCACTGAAATACGTGCAGCTGTTCAGGACATATTTTGCTAACACAAAGCAGCGCTGATTACCACACCCAATTCTAGGATTCTAGGTACATAAATATAAATCAGACCTTTTATGTGTTTGATTAGATGCTTTAGAATCCATTCAGTGACTCACACACACACACACACACAGTGAAAGAACGGCCATACTTGTATCCGGTGTCGTCTCCAGGTTTGTGGAACCAGTGAGGCTGTTCCCAGCCGGCGTGGAAGCCCATGGAGCATTTGTCCTTCAGCAGCTCGTACACGCCGCTCATCCTGCAGGTTGGTCGGCCAGCGAAACGCTCCTCCTTCGGGTAACCAACTGTGCAAACCGAGTTATAAAATGTCAGACAGGGGTATGGTGGGCTGTTCTCCATGCAGAAAGCAGTTGTCGTTGTTCCTCTTACCCACGTTGTTGAAGCCGTAGGACTCTCTAGCTTTGGCACACATGAAAGGGACGTCTGTCCATTTGCCGTATCGGTTCGGGTCACATTCAATCAGGTCGTAAGGAGGCTCTCCATTCCTAATCCAGTCACTCAGGAATTTACCAATCCCACCAGCATGGATCACTCCATACCTGACCACATAACAACCAGTCATGGATCAGTATGAATCACAACCATCAAAGTCAGAGTTTCTTAGTCGTTCCACCACATGTACCACATGGTGGACAGTGTGTACACAGGGTCCCAGTCCCAGTTCCATCCAACAACAATATAAACTGTAAAGAAAAACAGTGATAAGATCTAAGATATGAATGACGTTTTGGTTTTTGGACCTGAGCACCTTAGGAATGAATGTTTCAGTCTTTCTCCCTCCTTAGATGCATTAATCTGTCCTCCAGCTCTAATGTTAAAAATCTTGGTGTTATTTTTGATCAGGACATGTCTTTTATCCCCCACATTAAAAACGTTACTAGAACCTCCTTCTTCCACCTGCGTAATATCACTAACATTAGAAACATCTGATCTAAAGATGATGCAGAAAAACTGGTCCATGCATTTGTCACGTCTAGACTGGACTATTGCAATGGTTTATTATCTGGGTGTCCAAATACTTCTTTAAAACGTCTTCATTTGATCCAAAATGCTGCTGCCAGAGTCTTAACTGGAGTTACTGGGAGAGATCATGTCTCTCCAGTTTTAGCTTCTCTCCATTGGCTCCCTGTCAAATCCAGAATAGAATTCAAAATCTTACTTCTAACCTACAAAGCTCTCAACAACCTAGCTCCATCTTATATTACAGATCTTATTGTTCCATATTTTACTAACAGAGCACTTCGCTCTCAGACTGCAGGTTTACTTGTGGTTCCTAGAGTTTACAAAAACAGAATGGGAGGAAGATCTTTCAGTTATCAGGCTCCTCTCTTGTGGAACCAACTTCCAGTTTCTGTCCATGAGGCTGACACATTGTCCAGTTTGAAGACTGGGATTAAGACTTTCCTTTTTGATAAATCCTATAGTTAGGGTCGGCTTGGGTTTCCTGAGCTAATTATTTTTTCTTTCCTTAACATGTTTTGTCTTTCAGGTACACCTGGACCTATATCTGGACCTGGACCTATATCTGGACCTGGACCTATATCTGGACCTACCATTCTGTGTTCGTCTGTCTCTCCTTCCTGTCCTCTCAACCAGCCGGTCAAAGCAGATG